GTTTAATTTCGTACTTTCTTTGAGGGGGATGATGACATGTTAAGAGAAAATGTGTCACATTGGTCACACTAGTGGAAATTCAGGATTTTGTTAAATATTGCCTTGTAGAATTAAGAACTTAAAATGTGTGTACTATTAAAATATAGAATATTAGCCAAGATTTTATGCTATTCTAATTGGTATGACATAAACAAAAACTAGTTTAATAAAGTTTTGAGTGTAAGACACTAAAAACCTTGTGTCATACACAGTAAAAGATACCCGGGGTGATAGAGTTAATAGCTTGTTTCTTTTGCAGTTTGAATCTTTTCAAACACAAAGTTACAACTTTTACATATCGATGTAACTCATGACGTCATGAATATTGTTACGCTTAAAAGAATACACTCATTATAGTGGAATAATTCATGCATGAATGCTTAACTGAACTATAATATTAAAGATTCAAAACTCAACAAATTATGAGTAAAGCTTGAATATAATGGTAGCATACACTTCCATAAGCTTACTAATGTTAGTTGAAGAAGTGGTGCTTATTTGAGTGAAAAAATTCACCAGTTATTTTTTATTGATAGTTTAGCTTAACATTTGTATAATACCAAACATTTAATCATGAATGATCTTAGAACTGCTACATAAAAAAAATTTGGCATATAATTCTACCACAATACAAATATATATATATATATAATCAAAAATATAAGACAAACCAATATTTTTAAAATGGCAAGTTCTTGCCAGAAATTTGTATTGTGATAATAGTGACTTATCAGGCAACTGACATATCATTAAGTAAGTCCAATATGACTAACAACACTAATGTTAGACACACTGGTTCTAGTGCTTCAACACATTTTGCCATTTAACACTGTAACAAAAAATAATTTAATACTTAACTTGATCTAACTACCAGCTGGATACCACTACTTTTTAATTAAAATTCCTCTGTACTTTTCCACTAACCCTTACTTAGCATGCCAAACTGTAAGATTAAATATAGATGTCAGCTTACCCATACATCAATATAAAAATAGAAGATGGGATTGTTATCCAAACTCATAGTTCCCAGACAAATGAAGACTGGAGTTCCAGACATCTCAAAAACAAATCAAAATAGCAATCTAAAGTCAATAAAACCTTTCCATTATTTGATATAAGTAATTCACCATCTTACAATCAGCCTCTAAAGAAAGTTGAATAGTGTAGACAAATTGACAAGTGAAATATATCTAAAGCTTCTAGAGAAATGCATCTCATCAGAAACAAGGTGCATCAAAACAGCTTTCATATTAACAACCATCTGGGAAACATCACTTACCAAGTGAAACAAAAAAAAATACAAACCATGAATCAGCATCACACTGTATTAGGGCTGTGTTTGAAGGTGTGTTCTCTAGCCAGTAATTTGAAGATAGTTCTAAACATATGAAGAGTCATCAGGCAGCATTCAAGCAGTGTCAGAACGTTTTTCTTGTTTAAACAAAAACACACAAACACACAAAAAAAGTTATATGTAGCAATTATTTCCATGCATTAAAGCAGACTATTATTGTGTGGTACAAGGAGATACATTTAATGGCTGCATTGCTTCAATAATATGTACTAAGTGCCTAGTGTACAAGACGTGAGAAATGTTAGAATAAGTATGAAACATAAAATATAAGCTAATAGTAATAACTTTAATGTACCTGTACACTTTCCACTCCCTAAAGTGTGTATGTTTAATTAATCAACAATGTTGTTAACAAAAAATTATGACTGATAATAACACTCTACCTTTTCACTTTTTGTTATAGTTGGAGGTCCACATTTATTTGGCTATTAAACTGTTACTCTTCTGTTCTGCTGTTTATTCATTATGTTTATCAGGTAAATTATTTAAATTAATACTATCAAAGGCTTGAGCCTTTATTCAGTAATGTGTTCCAAACCTTTTAAAATCAAAATCTTCCATTCATTACATCCCTGTACTGTATAATGACTCAGTTAAAAGTGCCTATAACACTTGCAATAAAATTCAAATCTGATTCTGATCTGGCCAAATACAATGCAATCTATTAATTCATTACACAATCAAAATACTAATGTAAGCTTTCATGACTACATTATGCTTACCATTCAATGCCAGTGTCCTCCTTTTGTTACTTTAAACAGTAAGGACACATCTTGTTTCTGGTAAATGACATCAGGTAAATGTACTTTATTTAATAATATTATAAAATGTACTTTTTTCCCCATATATTTCTAAAGCTTACATCAACTTACAGTCAATTTATATATATCCAAAAAAAAGCTGAAATGCTATTTCTAATGTTCTATAAAAATGCATTACTTTCTTTAACACATAAAACAGCAATCTCTATAATAATATGCAGAGTTCAGTTTTACTGTTAAGAAAAAAATTCAGAAGGTACTTTTTCAAGTTCTGAAACTAAATCTGCAAGGGGAAATAAAACAACATCAAGTGTTAAGTTCTAATCCATCTAATACACAAAATGTTATACAAAAATTCTCAACAAGAAGTTTTCTGCTAGAATAAATATTTAACTAAAACAATTTCAGGCTGCACATTAATAATAAAGTAATAGCAGTTTACATAATGTATGCTTTTTGCAATTTGAAGTCATTCTAGAAAAAACAAGGGTAATTTAGATTTATTTTATTTTTTATGGTTATGAGGTTGGTCAAATTAACTGAATGCATATAGAGTTCAGGAAGAGAAAATAACAGCTAAAATATCAATTTTTACTGTAAAAAAAATAATTTATTTAGGAGGTTTTAGAGATTATGCAAATTAAATTGGATAGTTTTCAAATGAAGAAAAGTATTTTTAATCTAAATAAAAAAAATCACTTTACTCTTGGAACAGTCAACATCTTGACTCCATACTTGCAAAATTTTGTGAAGATACACAAAAAATATTAAATGTTATAGTATGGATACTCTAAAGGTCAATTTGGGGTCAAGATTTAGGTCGATTCGACCGAGCCCATAGTGAGGGTTAATAGGTTACCACCTCTTTTCTGATTTCAGAACTTGCCTACAATTCTAAACCTGATAATTATTCTTAGAAACCACTGTTATCTATAAACTGAGACATGCCTTCAATGAAACCTATAGTAATGGGAAGCTTTTATTGACATTTTAATAACTTCTGATTTCTTCTTTTTATGACTTTACTACTTACAATTCAATACTTAAAAGACCATTTGAAACCATTACAACAAATAGACTGAGATCAAGTCCTTATCAATAAAAATTCAGCTCCATGGAATGTTCAAATTATGTGAAGATTTTTATACATTTTCATCACATAAAATATATAAAACTTTCAGCAGTAGTTTGAAAAATAGTAATCCCTAATGTTACTTGATAATGAAGTTCACGCTTATAAACAAAAATAAATTCATAAACCAAATTTACAGTACAAAAAAGGAATAGAGAACAAGACTAACATTTCAAAAATAAAGAACAAAAATGAGCAGTACTGTGATAACATTACATGTAAATATGATCATACGTAGCTTCCTATATATTGCGATCCATCAGAATAACAAATATATATGCACTGTTCTAAGCCAAAATCTGAAAATTTCTTTATATAAGTAAGAGCAATAAAGACTAGGAAAGAAAAATTATGAAAAATAGAGATACCGAACAACAACATAAAATAACAATTGTAGGAAGAATATATTTTTATTTGAACTTTACATTAATTTCAGTCTTTAGAAGCTAGAAATAGCTTGAAATCAAAGTAACTCAGAAAAAAATTTTTTAATGTTAATTGTTTGAATTATTTGTTGATTTAAGAGAAAAAAAGTTTTAAGTTCTAAATTTAGACTTTTCTTCCAGATGATTAAAAATAAAGATGTCACATTGCATCTTTCTCATGATTATGATGAAACACAATGTTATGGTATTCAACAAACTTTCATAATTTGTGTTGTTTGTAAGCAATTTTACTTAGGAATTAGCAGACTAAAATTACACACTACTTTGATTTAAAAAAACGTTGACAATATCATATAATAATAGGATTTTGCTTTGTCAGCATGAAATAAAGAATATTTCTGAAGTATATTCCTTTAGGTACCCTTCTTTGTGTGCATGTGTGTTACTCTTAATGTTTTAAAAAAAAAGCCTTGTGGTTAACATGAAACTACAACAATAAGATAATATTTCCAATGTGAAAAGCTACATATTCAAAATGTAATATTCATGTTTCTATATCACTCAAAGGATAACTGGAAAACACGTACCATTTAGCTGAAATATTCATATATTTGCTATATCAAATACAATAATAGTCAACAAAAACATATCCTTATCTCAGTTTGAACCACATATGAACTAGATTTTAATTAGAATAATAATCAGGATTACAGCATAATCCACACACACACAACAACAAGGTGAATCCTAAAAGTTATTATGGTCAAATACCAACCTTATTATACCCCTGTGGAACCTAAACTAAGGTAAAACGCCATTAAAAGGTAAACCATAGTCAAAGTCGAATACCATAAACTAAAAAGAAGTTTAACTGTGAGTGATAGGCATTTACTTACTTGTTTTAGGGGTTAAATATACACTGATAGCAGTTATAACATCAAAAGAAGGGTCACGATACAATTCTGTTACCAATAGGTCATTGTCTTTCATCCTCAAGGGAAATTTTTGCATATCTAAAAAATAATAATAACAATTTTTTAGTAAAACTATCAACATATTACATGTTTTATCTCAACTGTCAAGATAACATACTAAATTTATTCCAACTATCAGTAAAGAGATTTCATCCCAATGTTCTGATTTTCCTCAACTGTTTTTTAAAACACAGATCACAAAAAGTTTATTGCATATATGAAAAGTTTTAAAAGACTAGTTTGTGAAAGCCGACTTTTATTAAGTTTGGATGATTACTATCAACAACAACATATAACAGAAAGCATAATTTTTTGTATGTAAGTTTTAAAATATTCCCTAAAATTTATCAGCATACCTACAAAAGTACTTAGTAGTAGTTCTTTTCATATTTAATGTAATTATAAATTGATGGGTAAACAATAACAGCAAGATTAACAAAATTTTCCACCAACAGTAATTTAGGTGATAATGATCATATTACTTGGTCCATACCTATATAATATATTGATCCATTGTTACAGCCAAGGAGAAGGAATGAACCAGCAGTGTCAAAACTTGCTATTGGAACAACATCTTGGATCTAAGAAAATTCTGATTTATTTGTCAGAACAAACATTAAAGACAAAAAAGTTCAAAACAAGAACTTTCAATGTTGGGTAAAAATATGGAATTTTATGATGTCAATCATTTTTTGAACTTTAACTAAATGATATAAATTACAACAACTTTTATAACTGTCACTAAGCCCCCTAAAAATTACACTATAACTGGTACAAAATTATTAGTTAATGCAACATTTACTAAAGTTTAAAAAAAATCACAGAAGTAATCTGTCAACAAATCTCCAAAAATATCAAATACTACTTCCAAAATGTTCTTCCTCTAAAGTTAAAAATCATGTAGTTACCAACTTTCAGGTATTAAAGCTATTATTTGAAAACTTTCAAATATATAGTAACTAGTTAACATGATAGCATAAAATTATAACACTACTAATACATAATACATCTTTTTAAGTAATATGTATTTGTTTTTTATTCATAATGAATATATGGAAGAGAATACAATACAAATTACAAAATTTTTTTGTTGGTCAGGGCTTCACATAAACACTAGCCTGATAACTTGGGACAAGTAAGTAATGCATATGGACTTGTTGCTGATATGGCACAATACTGTGATGAGGCTTTATACCAAGTAAATGTTTAATTTATGTTTGTTTATATATATTGACATATTTGATTTGTTGCTTCTTCACAGTGAAATGGTGATATTAATTTCTAAAACTCAGCAAGCTCAAATTGTTTATTTCTGAAAGCAGAAAAATAATTTTACAGTCAATTTTAAAATTTTAGATTTTAAGCATTTTAATTGTTTTAAACATATTAATGTAACAGACAAGTCTTGAAAAAATAAACAGTGTAAAAGTATCATAACTTGTGTTTTACAATATTTAGTCAGGTTCAATCAGAATTTCAATCTCTAATTCTACTTTGTGACTGACAAACAACTTTGTCATTGTAAATTATACATTTTGATATTTTAGATACAATTATACCTTTAACTTTTAAAGGTGTTTGCAATGTATGGAGTTCTACAACTACAACTCCAAATAACTTGTACCAAACAGTTAAAACCTAAAATAAAGGTTTATTATCGTGTCTTATGTAGGCAATTGGAAATATATTGTAACTTTACTTTTAATCACTTTTATGAAAACAGTCTTGGATTTCACAATATTACCCAATTAATTTTTGAATGTAAACAAATAAGAAGCAGTAAATACTTTGCACTTACAGTGAACCCTGTCTACATATTGATAAAACAAAAAAAGACTCAAAGAAATAATTTTTTATGTGCTATTTTAACAAACAGCTCACCTGCCAGTGTTGTGTCATTGCATGCCAAACCCCAACCTTCCCTGTGTGACTCAGTGCCACAAGCTGACTTCCAATGAAGAATAAATAATCAACCGGCACATTCAAATTGAAAGTCCCTAGGGAAATTAAAATAAGAATACAAAATTTTTCATTCCTCAACTATATTTAAGCACTAGGTATTTTTGGGTATGATGGACTACACTGGTCACTTAAGCCTCATGCTAAAAACAAAATTTCTTGAAGATAGTACCAACTAAAAATAAACTTTTTTTTGTTGTTATAATTTATTTTTTGAAATAATATGTACTTTACTTGTAGCAGGTTAATGAGGACTTTGAGCATAATACCCATCAAGTTTGAACTATCATCACTGAGAAGTGCTTAATTATCCCCAGCATCAATATCACAAATGAAATTTCTTCCTTTTCTTTCACACTTGTGGCTATTTCAGAATAAGATTAAACCTTTAATAACACATTAGTGTATACTACTTATGTAACAGATAACAATGTTTGAAACATTAATATCCATGTAAGCAGCTTCACAAATTGTACCAAATTAAATTATATAACAAGGTTCTTTTAGCCCACATCTAAAAATACTGTACTGTATTATTCTTAAAAACTGTAACCCATAGTATAAACAACTACTAAATATCTAAAGATTTGAAATCCATTTTTTAAAGTACAATGATCAATGAGGAATACACCTCTTTTCTTAAATACTTAAAATGAGTCATTCAATAATACCATTAACTACATATGAAATGTAAGGATGTTGCAGTACCATGAAACATTATGTGAGGAACATGAATGCATCATGTATATAAACCTGTTACTACAAGAATTTGTAAACACATACCTATTTGCATACAACATGATGTTTATTACACCTTAGTAAGAAAAACTTTAATGCTACTACTGTGGTGTTTATATGAAAGAAATGAAAAAAAAAAAAAGGCCAGCTCACCAATATCAGCTCGGGCGCCATCTTCACTTAGACCCCAAAGCCTCACTTGAGGCCCACAAGAGATAGCTAACATCTTAGTACATTTCTCTGGCTGGTTGGTAGCAACTTTGGCATTGAGAGCTATTCTTTCCACTACTGGTTCAATATGAGGACTAACAAATGCTCTTTGCCAGCCTGTCGAATCTTTAAGTCTATACATTTTAGATAAAAATTAATTAATCAATAATGTGAAATAATAAGTTGGTACAGAAATTAGTTTAGAGTATTTTATACAAAAATGAATTATATAAAAAAACTGAAATATATATGGAATTTAGCACACTTTACCTCTTTTTCGTGCTTCACTACAAAGCCTGTGTATATTCTAAATGTACGTTAGTTTATCCTCAAAAGAACTATTATGCCAGCAATATCATTAAAATAACTACTTATTTAACATAAATAACACCCAAAAAGAAAATAACTTCATGTATTCCCTTCTCAATAAAAGTATTTTTAGTTTTTCATTTATTATACTTTAAATTTTTTAAACTTTTTTGATTTTTATATCACCTCCAAAAAAAAGAAAACAAGTTTGAATAATTTGGGAAAGAAAAAAAGTTTCCAGACACAAATGAAGAAAATTCAAGTACTTACCTATAACAGGCTACAAAATGTGCATATGCAACAGCTATCCAATTATGATGACCTTTCACAATTCGAACTCTCAGAGGATCGGTCCATACTGGTGTTCCTACAATGAAAAAAAAAAGAGAGACTTTATACAAAAAACTTTCTTATTTTACATTACTTAAATATTAAATTAAAAACACAGAGAGCAAATGCTGAGAACTAGGCATATAATTGCTCTTTGCCAACCAGTTTAATCTTTAAGTCTAAACATTATTGATGAATAAACAAATTTATCAATAATATGAGCTAAAGAATTGATAAGAAAATACTATAGAATACTGTGAAACAATTTAAATTTTTAAATCTGTACATGATGTGTTTCTTCCATTATAAATGGCATGACAATGGTAACATTTAGATTTGATATTTCTAGTGACTAGAACAAAATTATAAAATGTAATTTTTCATCACTGATTTTCTAAACAGAACAACATATTTAGCTTCTAAATTATGGAACCAAATTCACCATGGTTCACACAGGGTAATGGAAAATGTCAAACTTTTCAGGTCCAGATTTACTGCTTTAAACAGAACTGAGCTCCATCAGAATTAAAGAACTTATGTTTTATTATATGTTAAAAAAAAAGGCAGTAACAAATGTTCTAGCAATAACAGTAACACCTGAACTAAAGAAATAAACAACAACACTTATTCAAGCAAAAAAAAAAGACTATGAAACAAGCCATTAAAAGAAATTACAACTGAACAAAGTTCTGACAAATTCTTCATTATTTACATTTCTCTAAGTACACCTCAGCTTTTCCCAACTTCAATTTAATAACAAGTGTCTTTCTCTCAAATGCTGTATTTAGCAAGAACTAGAAACTCGCTTAGCATATAATTTAAAACTAAATATTTATTAAACATATTACTTCAAATTACCAAAAGGACAACAAGTCAAACTGTCCTTTGTTGGCTGCTGAACATGAATTAGGAAAATTTTCCATTGAATTAAGTATGTTATAAAGTGGAATTGAGAAAACACTTAGAAATAATGGAATGCAATTGTGTGGGGGGTTCATGAATGTGACATTGTGAGAGTGTTCTCAGTAACAACATGAGTGTGAATCTTTGCTTTGTTGGCATAGGACATGTCTGATACTAAACAATGGTATTACCTGATACACCATTTAATGCAATTAGTATTATTAGCATTTAGTGGTACAATTTGTTCAAAGAGAATCATACCATGAGATCCAAAATATAAGCCTAAGTCTCCTCTTAAAGATTTAGTGAAGTCTGCCGATGAGTTCCGTGAATGTCGTAGATCTAAAGATGAAGTTCGAGAATGACCTCTACCCAAAGTCCTTAAGTCTGAAGAGCTACGTGAAAGTTGGGACATATGGACTCGATTGTCTACTGAAGAATTTCGTGAATGTGATGCTGAGGGTGGGCGAGATGATGCAGAAGAGCTTTCCGTTGTAATACGTAAAACTGAGCCTGGCTTGGCATCAGAAACATTATTCGCCTGAACATTACCACTAGGAGCAATATGACATTCGGGAAGAATGCGAAAATTTGCTGCCTCTTTCTTATCTAAAGTCCCACCATACGTTGGAGGTTCCCCAACAGGAACAGCTAGCAATACAAAACAATGAATATATATAAAAAAAAGGCCTGGGGCCTAAACAATACTGAAGACTATAAGTTAGTGAATTTCAAACAGTTAAAACCATGCAGGTTATAAAATTTTATATCAAATTAACTTAATTCAAAATATGAATTCTGTATAATCATTCTTAATAAAAAGGCATTTTCTAATGTGATGAATGAAAATACACAAACTGATATATTCCATGAACATGCTTCATTCATGAGTTTATCACCAGAAAACCCGGAAAATACATGATATCTACTTTTTACCAACAACATCAACAAAAAAACACACACGATGGTCCCTAAGTAAAGAATTAAAGGCCAGACATTTCACATAGAAAGCATCTTTAATACTGGTTATTTTTTAAATGGTGTAAAACAACTCTTAAGTTCAACTCTCTCACACACACACACAAAATTACTAAGAGTATTTGAAAGACATGAAACATATTTTGTTCACATAACCTGGTTAGTAATATAAATCCAACTGAATGAAACTTTACATCCAAATCACAGGATGTACTGACAGATAACAATTGGGACAAGATGAATATAAAATTCTGTATCCTAATTCAATCTTACAAGGAGGAAGAAGATATCCATGAAACAGAACATCCCCACAAGATGACTGGTTGAGATCTTCACAGAGAATTAGACGTTTCACTGAAAAACAATAACAACAAAGAAACATATGAATCAAATCTTGTTTCTCCTTCTCTACACATGTAAAAATCTACTACAATATAAAAATGCAGAACTTTATGCTACTTTATGCAATATATGTTTCATAAATTTATTTGAACTTCCTTCCTTAAGAGGAAGAGATGAAAATGGTTTAAAAATTGCCTTTTACAATTATATTAAATGACCAGTTACTCCTTTAAATAAATTTATCTTTAAATTCACTGCATATGTTTACTAGTAAATCTTCCTTACATTCTTACGATGTTCAGAACTTTGTGAAGCTTTATGCAAGTTTTAAAATAATCAATAAATATAAAAGAATGTGTGTGTGTGTGTAAACATGGTTATCTTGAGAAATAGTTCTTAATACCAAATATATTTTCATTAGAGAATAAGAGCTCTGTGTTATCACCTATTAATTTGATAATGTTGTCTCAAATTGAATTAAAATAAGTAATCTTCAAACAATTGGTTGGATGTACTTTACACACTGACAAGTAGGATGAACAAATAACACAGAAATGTAATGTCACCATAAATGTAAAACACAGGTTATTTAACACATGATATAAAGCTCTAGAAAAAAAAGCTCCATGTATTCCAGTTTTGAAGTTAACTTAGTGAGAGAATATAACACATTGCAAATTACTGGAAGTTTATCAAACGAAGTGGAAGTTTTAATAAACATATTTACCCAATGGAGTGATTCCATAAAATTCTCCTTCATGCCTCAAAATTCCAATGTCAACATCCCTTATATAGAATGATATACAAAATTATACATCAGTTGGTATGAGAAATAGAATTAGTATTTGATACATCAATATTTTAAATGAAGTATTTGTTATAAAAGTTGCATTTATTTTATAAGTTATAGAGCTGAAGCAACCTTATTAACATTTCTCACTTGGTACATCAAATACAATTTTTTAACATTAATATTTTGTTAGTAATTGTTTACTTGCAGCTGCAACCATTTATCCAACATTAACTAATTAAAATTTCAATATCTGCTCAAGATACACATATATATGTATGTATGTACATGTATGTATGTATATGTGTGTGTGTGTGTGTGTGTATGTATATATATATATATATATATATAT